TGAAATCGGAAGACGTATCACAAAGCCCCGGGGTACACTCCTCAATGCGAGGAGGTACCACCAAATCGGAAGACGAAGAGGCCTTGACTTTTTGTGGAACTGTCTTAAAAGTTTTTGCCATTTTTGTTGTGAAAATTCAGAAGAAGGAGAAGGAGCTGGTTAAGAAATGGGCACAAGGAAGGAATAAGTGCAGAGAGGATTTGATGATATTGTAAAAGTAAAAGTTTGAAGAATGAAGGATTGAAGTATTTATAGAGGCTGTCTAAGCGTGTTGGAGAAGCTAAACGGACGACCAATAGCCGTCTTTCATTAAAGGCTTTTCGAAAACTGTGTAGGCGTAACTTTTGCACGACTTTTAAGTCACACGGACCGCTGATCTCACTAGACTGACATCATGATTAGGACATCGAAGGGGCGAGAATCAGATCGTTTCTTATCTTTTCATTCTAAGAAACGCGGGACTATCTGTATACGGTCGAAATCGGAGAGCTCGATTTCGAGGACTTAACGGTACCCCGGGCTCGAGTTCGGGCAGCATGAAGTAAAGACCAGATCTGACTGGAAAATGCATACCTCGAGGGAGTAAATCGAAGACCCGTCATGATCTACCTCGAGGGCAGTACAATTCGATAACACTCAAGAAATAGCGGGAATTTCTAGGACACGTGATCGGGGCATAAATTATGGGATAAGATTTGTACGAAATAGTATGAGTCCGTACTAGGTTGTTATACAGCTGTACCAATAGAATTCTTTACCATAATTGGGAATATACCATACTAGGGTTTTCCCCCCTATATAAAAGGGACCCAATCATTTTGTAAAGACAGATCTCATTCACTACAATATAACATTCTATTCTGCTTTTCTCGTTTACTGTGCTCCACAATTGTTCTTCAGTTTTATTGTTTTTATTTTATTGTTCATACTTTATTTGCTCTTAACTCACCTCGGGGCCCCCGAGATAGTCGTGCTCGAGGTCCCCGTTGCTCTAACAATACTGGTTTGGTTCATCAATTCTTCTTACTTAAACCTAATATTACTTGTATATTCACTAGTATTGGAATAAATCACATATCTTTAAAACCACAAATCACCTTTAATTGTTACTCACATTTTTTGAGGTAAACACGGAGAAATAATATATTGTGTATTACTTCCGCCGGTCCATAATAAGTAGCTTTTTGGCCTTTGGCATACCCTTTAAGAAAATTCTAAGCTCTAGAGAAAAAAAGAAGATATTTTGACTAAATTACACTTAATTATGATTTGCATATTTTTAACTTGACACATTGGGATATGTAAATAAGGGCAAATTTTAAAAAAATAAAGTTAATTGCTTCTTGATTATGTAAAAGGACATTTATTTTGGACCAAAATAAAGAGGCGAGAAGACACTTATCATGGACCGGAGGGATTATCAAAGAGAAATTTTCATAAAGCACTATCTTTTGGTAGTAATTAGCCATCTATAGATATCATTTGCTATATTACGGATTATAGATACCTTTTTTGTGGTTATAAGATGTATTTGATGTATTTAAGCTATTGTATTCATGAATGCAGTAGCAAAAATAGGCGTGAATCAGGGAAGTCCAGCTAATCAGTTGTTGTATTCGAGTGTATTCGACTGTATTCATGGAGTGAAACATGGGATTACAGCTAGACAAATTATTGTATTCGACTGTATTCACGGTGTGAAAAAGGGGATTACACTGTTTTTAAAACGGAAAGTGAATCAATTAACATAATAGACTCCTAATATAACTCAACAAACTCAATTATAACACACAAATTTTGTATTTTCAGTTATAAAAAAGATTCTCAACTGAAAAATACCCCAATACATAGCAATCTTCAGAGAAATTATATAATACATCTTAATACATAAATTATATTAATTACAAAAACATATGAATACATTCATGGCATATAGCGAGATAGTGAATATAATGAAATACATATAATACAGCGGGATACATTGAAATATAATGAAAAAAAAGACAGTGAATACAATGAAATACATGAAATACAACGAGATACATTGAATTACAATGAAAAAAACGACAACGAATACGATGAAATACATGAAAATACAGCGTGATACATTGAAAATACATTGAAATATATTAACAAAAAATCAAGTTGCTCAGCCCCAAACTCTGTCGTATTGGTTCAAGAACAAACCCTAATTTCCGGCGAATCCATCGTCGAGCAACGAAATAATCCACCTAGTATCCGGTCTACTATATCGTCTTCCGAGGGTATTATCAGAGGGTGCTGCCTCTCTTTCATCGGAATTAGAAAATGCACAGCAGATGTTTGAGGACCTTGCAGCGTCACTCACAGACCGCATTCGCGAAAGAAACAATTCGCAAGTTTTACCAATTAGTCACGTTGCAGCTGATGAAGATAATTCTTTGAGAAGAGATGCTGCTATCATACGATAAGAACGTCAGACTCTGGATTCAATTGTGGAAACAAGCTCTGCTAAGTCATTTGTTCCTTCCTCTGGGATGTATCAAAGTAGAGAGAGAAAGAAAATAGTGTAACTGATTAGCGTATTTAATGGCTTAGGGCTAGGAGCTAACCAAAATTAAATATTTTGCTATAAACCTTAAAAGGTATCTATAGAATATAATTTTTTTAAATGGTATTTATTTAAAATAAATAAGGTGTTAACCTTTACTATAGGAGGTAAAAATTCCATTATCAAATTTATGTTTCGCATCAAACATACTGTTCAATTGAATCCAACAACACGACACTTTATCTGCCCCTAAGATATAGGCAACCTAGCCTAATACAAGTGTTAGTGACTAATTTTATAGCTCCTAATGGATGACATCTTTATGTGATCTATACCAGTGCGCCAAATTTGTCGTAACAGCCGCAAATTATTAACTTTGTAAACCTGTTTAATGGAAGTTTATTTAATGTGTCTTCTGCTAGACTTGAAAGTCAACCAACCATTCCTTTTATTTTATTGCATTTATAACTTTATAACCGTTTAAATAACTTTTACACTATTACGTATTATTTTCTGGTTACTAATTTTCCTTTTATAAATATTAAATTTCAAATGATCTAATAGTTGTTGCTTTTTCATTTGATTAATAACAATATGATTAAAAATTTTAATATTTTATCGATATTCCAATGCTTTGCTTAGGACAGAAATTCGTAGGAATCATAATGGGTGGGGAAGCATATTTTAGACGTGGTTTGAATTCTTCAAAGCAATTAGTATCCCAATTATCCAGTAATTGTGAGCACGTAGTCGTCAGTTGCTTTTATTTTATTTTTTATTTCTTATTCGTTTTCTTTTTATCTTTTTAAGATTACGGACTTAAGTTATAAGCAATATGGACAATTAATTTTGTGGATAAGATTGGTCTTCGTTCTTGTAATGAAGTTGGTATGTTTACTTCATGTATCGTATTAATGTTAAATGCTAATTGTAATGTAATGAAGTTGGTGTGCTCTTTGTTTTTAGAAGCCTTTCATGAACTGAGGTTGGTATAGATTTTTTTCGTTGGTAAACTAATATATAAGCATAAATGTTTGAAATTCAGGTATAAATATTTGAAGTTTGGCTTGAGCAAATCAAAATTTAGTCGCGTAAGGCTGAAGTTGAGACAAAAAAATATATCTGAAGTTTACTTGCATAAGCAATATGCCAAACTTGAGGTAAAATTTGTAACTTCAAAAGTCCGTTTTTGCAACTTAAGTCCGGTATACCTAAAATTGATTGTGAAATGACTAAACTTATAGTTATAAGTAAAAATTTATAAACTACGAGTATGCCTTAGTTAGGGCTCCAAAATTGGTTATTTGTGCATTTTCTCCTCGAAACAAGCAACATTCCAGTTATGTGGTTCGTGTTAATAAATTTCCTCACCCTACATTGGATGTAACTTTGTAAAAATCGATTTTTAATTTTTTTTGCTAAAAGTACACTTTACTAATCTTTATTATGTAGATCAATTATGCTAGTAAACTTTGAAGTACATGATATCCAGCGAGTGTATGTGTATAATTAGGAAAAAGAGCGGAAAAAAAAAAAAAAAGACGAAAAACTAATTTGATTTGGTTTATTGATTCAACAATGTTAATTTGGTCTTTTTTAAATTAAAATTTATAAACTGTTAGTGGTTAATGTAGTGTCCACACTATTTTTCCGTTTTTTATAGTAACGGGCCTTATTTACTTGTACTATTATTTCTTTTTATCTATTTTCTGGTCCTTATGTTGCTGTTATTATGATCTGTTGATGGTGTTAGGACTGAAAAAAGTCAGGTGTCATGCGGATGCTAGTAACGCAAACCTCGAACGACGATATGTCATACATCAAAAGAGAAATCTACCAAAAGAGACACAAATATTTAGCGTGGTTCCGTCAACCGACCTACGTCCACAGATGGAGATGAGCAATCCACTATATAAAAAGAGAGTACAAATATCGAGAGAACAACCTCACGAAGAGGCAAACACAAGTGACACACTAACACCTGTAACGTAAAGTTCTCCCCCTAAACACGACTCTCAACCCCATATGGCTACATTGTGGATGCTACTGAATGAGAAGGGCGGATCCTCAATTTATAGAACTCCAAACCTTTTCCTACAAGAAAAAGGACTAGCCAAATATGGGAGATTTGTAATTTCCTTCTACAAGAAGGAAACCCAATTAAGGTAATTATATTGCCCTTTTTCCTTCAAGAGATAGGAAAACCAAATATGGTAAGAAAATTATGGCAAACACATAACCGATGGTACTGATTTATTGTCTCTGTTCGTCTTTTTTAGCCGAAGGTCTTTTGAAAACAGCCTCTTTACTCCGTCGGGGTAAGTGTAAGCCCTGCGTACTCACTACCTATGGGATTACACTGGGTTGTTGTTGTTGTTTATTGACTCAAACCAAACCACCTACACCCAAACGAGGTGCATATATTACACCTATATATAACACCTGCCTTCTACTCGTCCTTATATTTGTAACACAATTATTCAGCAAATTTTCTCTAATAATAATACAATGGTAATCAAGGTTCATGGTCCTGTCCAGTCACCGGCGGTATTGAAAGTGATAGCATGCCTCAAAGAGAAGGAGCTTGATTTTGAGCTTGTTCATGTTAATTTGCCTGCTGGTGATCACAAGAAGGAACCTCTCATTTCCCTCAATGTATGTTCACCTTAAACCTAGTACCTTATTCATGTCCTTTTAATCCGATTTCGGGATTCCATTGGCAAGATTCAAACCCAAAACCTCTGATTAAGAATGTACTTTTACCATTCTACCACACTCGTTGGTGGTGAATTCAATTTTATTAGCGCACATAGTTTTAAATTATTTCATATACATGTGTGTGTGAGATCTCTATACGTATTGATAATTTCGCTTGTTTTTTTAATTGTTTTGATGTTGTTACTGCTTGTTGCTACTGTTTTCTTTTCATTTTTCCTTGAGTCAGGAGTCTATCGGAGACAGTTTCTCCACCCCAAGTAGGGATAAGGTCTGCGTACATACTACTTTCCCCAGACCCCACTTATGGGATTATAGTGGGTTTGTTGTTGTTGTTGTTGTTGTTGTTGTTGTGTGAGTCGAGTAAAAAATGGATGTGATTATATGTCGACAGCCTAAATCTGATCAAGAGGCAGAACTTGAAATTCAGATTACGAACTTAATTAAATTTCTTTGATTCATTCAGCCATTTGGTCAAGTTCCAGCATTTGAAGATGGAGATCTCAAGCTTTTTGGTAAGTGAACTTTCCTATACCACACAATGGCATATGAATTCAAGATTTAAAGTCAATGAATTCAGAGTAAGCATAATTTTATCTATGTATACATTTTTTAAATGACTTTTATCTGTACACATAGTAGCTGAAAGTAATAGATTCAAATGAACTCATAGAACCAAAATCGAATCCTAAGTTGAAATGTGATGGGTCAATATTTATGTTCTTAGGTTAGTACTTAGTACATGTGGACAATTTTGGAATTTTGTACATATATATTTGTTCTCCATACAATATATATTTGGTTTAGGTTGAACCCATTGAAACTACATTGCACCCGTGACCAAAAAAATCATCATAAATTCTGCCTCCTTAACACAATCGCACCCATCATTTTATATATATATTTTTTGATTTATCAATATTGATATCTAAATGCAGAGTCAAGGGCCATTACACAATATATAGCTCACACATATGCAGACAAAGGGAATCAACTTCTACCCAATGATCCTAAGGAAATGGCAATCATGTCTGTGTGGATGGAAGTAGAATCAACAAAGTTTGACACTCCAGGTTTCAATTTAACCTTTGAGATAGCTCTTAAGCCACTATTCTTCCGCGCGGCGACAGATGAAGCAGCAGTGACAGATAATGAAGAAAAACTTGGCGAAGTTCTTGATGTGTACGAATCAAGACTTAAGGAGTCAAAATATTTGGGTGGAGAAAGTTCCACACTAGCAGATTTGTACCATATACCTATTGTAAACTATTTGATGGGGACTAAAGTTAAGAGTTTGTTTGATTGTAGACCTCATGTTAGTGATTGGTGTGCTGATATCTTGGCAAGGCCAGCTTGGTCTAAGGCACTTGACTACTTGAGTGCAGAAACAGTGAAATTACCACATGAATATGGCCTATGTATCAGCAGGTTAATAAACATGGGCCATGATTAAAGACTTTTTCTATATTTTGTTTTATGTTGTTCGCCTTTTTTTTTCCCTTTCATCCTTTGTCTTCAATACTGTTGTGTACTCTTTTTCGAGAAATCAAAGTTCTCATATTATCTGCTGTGTTTCTATTGCTATGAGTGTTTGTCTTTAATCTATTGTATGAAAGGCCTTCAATTGCATTACATATAATCTCATTCATAAATTAGAAATGAATACAAAATTTGGCGAAGAAAAACTGTGATATCAAGTGAGTTGGTTAGTAGGCGAAAATGACGATATATAATGACATCTTGTGGAGTTTAATATATAATAACATCGTAAAATAATTCTTATATTATTAGATCACTTAGAAGATAAGTAAAGTAATTGTTCATGATATGTGAAAATATTCATTTGAAAAATAAAGTAGATAATTTGCTACAATAGGTTGGATTACACTCATAGGATATAAAAGTTAAATTTTGTTTAATTGTTAAGACCGTCTCATTTTAAAACCGAACTCATTACGTTTTTAGCCTACCAATGTGATCACGCCCAACTATGCCTTATAAAAAGGACAATGCGGTCGTTGCAAATATAATCCGGTTTACAAGTCCGAAGTCGAATCCCACAGAGAACTAAGGTTTAGCTACAGCTGTTCACTATCACCAAGAAGACAAGCTTGAACAATTCCTAACCTATAGATATTAAGATTCTTGTGTTTAACTACTTAACTAACAAATTAAAATAGTAAATTAACAACTAACGATACTGAGGGTTAGAGAAAAGATTAAGGAGGTCTAGAGTTATGATTTCCCCAATTGTCGGAATCCTTCCCGCTATGTCTTCTATAATTTCGCCTAAGTATTCTCTACCGATCATGAGCACTCTTATTACCGTAAATCTCTCTCGAGTAATTACGACAATTTACTAGACGTACCCTCCCGAGCTATGCTAGCTGGCTTTTAATATAGCTCACTTCAGATCGCACCCAAGGCTTCGTTATCCCTAATCCCACCTTTAAACCCTCGGTTGTTGATCCCTCATATACTTTGGGAGTAGTGTTGTTCAACAATTACCTAAATATGCACTCTCTCCCGAGTTATGCATACTAAATAGGCACAGCTAATTGAGAGCTCTTCAATCAACCAGAATATAAACGTAGTTGAACAAATAGAGAAAAGCTATGGCCCAATTATATAAAAACATAACAAGAATTTATCCTACAAATGGTTCTATCAAAACTCTAGATAACAAATTAGCTATTCATAACAGTATGTAAAACTACAATACTAAAAGTCATAACCAACAATGGAAAATAGGAAGAGGAAGGAAAAACTCGTAGAAGAATTCTCCGCCTTGCTCCCAATGTGTTCTTGCCTCCTTAGGTCGAATCTATGTCCAAAATATGTCCCCCTAAGCGTGGTGTGTGTTCCTCCACGTGAATTCTCCTCCAAAATATGTTCGATCCTCTCAAAGTGGCGTCCTCCCGTGTATATATACCAAGTAGGGTTAGGCCCAAGCAACTATACCTTCTCCAATGTGAAAAAGGACACTTTTTCCGGGTCAGGCGTGCGACTTCGCGCGGTCTTCGCGCACCTTTCTGCCTCAATCTTTTTAGCGCGCGAACTATGCGCGATTTCGCGCGTCCTTCGCGCGTCTGCTCGTTTTTCACCCTGTTCTGTTCCGAATTTGGAAAAACGTAAAACATGAAAGTTGTAGCCCTTTGAATTAGATTTCCAACCATATATTGTGGAGCCCAAATGGAGTTCCGAGTAAAAAGTTATGTGTATTTTACTAGAAAGTGCGCAATATGCCTACTCGAGTCTTCGTTTTGTTGTTATATCATCCGTTGATCCCCGAATACGATCCCGGCTTAATTCCTTGAGCTTTTACTCAGACTTCAAAGCTCCAGATCACTTGAATTTATTCCATAACATCTATATAGCTCGGAATCACTCCTACAAGGCATAAAACACACAATTAGTGCAAAACACTAGCGATTAAAGCGCAAACTCAATTAAAGTGCAGTAAATTCGAGTGTAATAAGCGACTAAAATATGCAATTATAGCCTATCATCAACACCCCACACTTAAACCATTGCTCGTCCTCGATCAATCAAACTACACTTTTTTTGTTATAGACACGACCTTTTTAAACAATTCTTCTAACTCATCACACCAAGAGTATTTAAAATAGACTAAGCACAAAAGCGTAACATCTTTACCTCAAGATTTGACTCACAAGTACCACGCATTATTCACAACTCACCTACTTACTCTAATATAGAGGTCACTGACATTACCTTTCCTTCATGAATCAAGTGCCCTCACACAACAAAGGAGAGTAGTTCCACACAATAAAATTTAAGAACACTTAGGAACTCAAGATAGAAAGAATTCACTCACTCTCAGAAATAACATTCATATGCCACAAAAGATGCACCATAAGCTTGCCCGTAGTGTACTACTCCACTAATCGAGCTCATTCAATCTTGGATCAATTAGGACTTTATTTGGTTGTAATGTAGGCTACGGGACCGGTAGGATACATTTAGATATAAGAGTGACTACACCTCCCTAAGCACTTTAATACATACATTTTAACAGTTAAACCCCATACTTATGTCAAACCAAAACTCCACCTTCACATCAATTTATATTACCCCATACTTCTTTAAGCACACTTACGTCAAGAGCCACCACTTATCAAGAATTTTTTTTCACAAGAATCCAACTATTTTGTTTTCAAGTCAAGTGGCTCTTCCTTTTTCAAAACAGTGCACCTTTCTCCTTATTTCATTAGTTCCACTCAAAAGCCAAACCAACCACCCCACACTTTAAGTTTTACAAAGTTCATAAATAATTCAAGTGCTCATGAGAGGTTACAATGGTTCAAATAGATGGTTAATTCCAACAAATGGGTAAGGCTTGTAATGTGGTTGCCAAGAAACAGGATTATAGGCTCAAAGAGGTTAACTAAGATACATAACAATTAGGTGGGCAAAATATACATATCTGGCTCAACAAGAAAACGCCTATATCACTTCCAAGACTGAACAACACTACTATTTCGCTTTGCAAACACACGGGGCAAGTTCTAGGCATCAAATGCACTGCACAGAATAACACCTAAACCTCACACACACATGGCACATAACTCACTCAGGATTAGATTCATCAAGACACTCTAGTCAAAGCAGTTAAGCAAAGTTAAAATCATACAATTTAAGGTACTTATGCAAGAGTCAAAAACTGAGCCTAAGCGTCACAGCCAAAGT